GTCTAGCTGCAGCTTCTGGGTCACCGGGAGCTGAGGAGGCTCCGCCCCTCTGGGGTGTGGCCCCCCAGCCTCCCCGGGGCCGTGAGCTCCCTCTTCTCTGTGCAGAAGAACAGGGCGTGCCCGGGTCACCCTGGCTCTCCCGAGACTTCAGGCGAGAATTCCTGATGTTTCCTCCTGAACGTGAACGAGGGTCCGAGCCCATCGCCGCCCCTCCCCCCGCCTCCCCCACCGCACACCGGCCTGGGCGGGAGGGCGCCTCCTCCTCAGTGGGTTCCGGGTGGACAGTGCCAGCCCCGCAGAGCGGGCGGAAGAGGAAACGGAGGCCAGGAGGTGGAGTGGGATGCTGGGTCTGGGCATGAGCAGCGTGTTGTAACCTTAAAAAAAAAGTATGCATGAGCCCGTCTTATTTCAATATGCAAAACTATGCACATGGCATGCAAATGAGCGCTTCCTGTCTGCTCCCAGCCAGGGTGGCTGGCAGTGCCGCAGCCTCTGGATCTGATGACATCCCACAGGAAGCCCCCTCTCTCCTGCTTGACTGAGCCCCTCTGCCCTGCCTGTTCCCCCCCTCCCTCTCCCCCACTTCCGGGCTGGGCTTTAGGAAGTCTCCGGGGGTCTGATCCCACAGGCACAGCGGGCAGATAAGGCAAGGCCCCTCACTCCTCCTCCACCCCCCTCCGGGGCCCCGGGCACTCCGGGATTCGAGGCCTGCCCTCCGCTGGGGGCCTGTGGGAAGGCTCCCGGAGGCGAGGAGAGGCTGTGCCGTGAGGGCAGCGCGGGGGGCTGGGCGAAGGCGGGGAGGGGGATCCGCTCGGGAAGCCAGCGAGATCCGCTCTGTCGCGGGGAGCGAGGCATCTCGGTGATGGAGGAGCGTGGGGCGCTGGAGCAGGCCGGCCGGGTGCCCGGCGGCTGTTGGGCGGACACAGCTATGGCCACAAATCATGGGAGAAACGTCCCAGGAGCACAGGCTGGAAAGGACAGTCGTCCGGGCGCCCGGCCTGAGTCACAGCGGGAGGCGGAGACACCCACTGGGCCGGGCGACACGGTCCCTGCACCTCGGTCTCCTTGGCGGGAAGCGGGCCCCACAAGCCCCTCCTCTTCCTCTCAGGGCCGCCGGGAGTCCTCGGGGCTTGATCCTTGGTGGAGTCATCAGCAGGCAAGGAAGGGGTGCCTCCGGGTGTCCTGGCACCCACTATGTCACCTCTCAGCTGCCGCAGGCTCCCAGGCTGCCCGGGGCCTTGGCACTGAGTCCCAGCCGGGGCGGGACTGGGCGGCACCCGTGTCAGTGGCCGGTCAGAGAGGCCGGGGCAGTGCGAGGCCCCCCTGGAGCTGCTGAGTGAGGTGCACAGCAGGGCCGGCTGGCCTGCGGGGGAATGCGGCAAATGGCGAGCGGAGGCACGTGCCCAGCTCCGTCTGGAAGCTTCCGTGAGAGCGGTTCCGGGAGGACCGCGGGCCCAGACGGATTGCCGTCACATCGCCAGGTGGGGGCGGTGCCCAGTGGGGAGGGCCGGGGTCCGCGCGCCTCTTCCGGAACGCTGCATTCCTCCCAACGCTCGCTAAGCGACAGGGAATTCATTTCACACTCAATTGGAGGCAGATCCCCCACCCTTGACAGATGGAGGTGGGGTGCTCCGACGGAGGGTGAGTGAGGGTCCCGGGGTGTCCGGAGGCTCCCCGAACAGCCTCAGCCCGCACGCTCCCGGCCGGAGGCGGGCACAGGCCCAGCTCCAAACACGCGTGGGCTGGGCCGACGCTCCTTGGACGACCTTGGGGGGGGCCTCCTGCAGCCGCGGGCTGTGGCCCGGCCCGGGGCGCTGGAGCAGGGGCAGAGGCCCTCTCTCCCGGCCCCCCATGGGCCCCCCATCTCAGACAGGGGGTCCTTAGTCACTCCCCCGCCTGCGGTCGCCGGGGCCCGGGCGGGCTGGGCTGCCTCCTGGCTCGGCTAATTGGAGAGGCTCCCCCTCGGCTGCTTCCGTAAGTGATGCGAATCCCGCAGCCAGAGGCCGGTGATGGACAGCCCTGTCACAGCAGCCTGAGTGTGTGAGAGCAATTGTTCTGGGGAAGGCTGCCATTGCTCGGGCCCGGGCTGTGCGGGCACCGCGGGCAGAGCCAGCCTGGCCTCCCTGCCCGGCCCCCGCCCCCACCCGGCCCGGCCCCGGCCTGCCCCGCCACCAGGGCCCGCCCCGTCTAGCCCGCCCCGCGCGGCTCCCGCACGGTATCCTTGTCATAACAGTCAGAGCAGCCGAGAGATATTGCTCCTCAACCCTCAACACACATTTTTATAACCTTCCTGTTTAATAGGAAAGAGACAGCTCCAATTAGCTGGGAATATTCCGCAGAAATGGGATTATTTTAAAAGCTCCGGCAATATTATAACAGCTTCAGCGAGTGAACAGCTGTCGCGGCCCCGCCCGCCATGCGCACTGCGCCTCCCGCGCCCTCGTGGTAGCGGGCGGGGGCGGGGGACTCACCCCCTCTGCAGGCACCCCAGGGGCCCGGATTCCGCTCTGGCTGGCAGGCAGGATGTAAGCGGTGGGATGTGGGGGCAGCCAGCCCTCCCGCTGCAGTTGGACGAGGCCTCGCGGGCCTGCCTTTCCCAGGGAAGCCAAGGTCACCTCTAAGGGCTTCCAGCCCGCCTGCCGCCCCCGGACCAGACCTGTGCCCGCTGTGAGAGACCTCCTGCCATCCCCACCTCCCAGCCTCTCCCAGGCAGCTGCCTCCGGCCTGCGCTCCCAGGCTTCTTGGTCAAAGGCACAGGACTCCCTCTGGCTCCTGGGCATTTTCTGAGCCCCTCTGCCAGGCCTGCCCTCTGCCAGGCCTGCCCTCTGCCAGGCCTGCCCTCTGCCAGGCCTGCCCTCTGCCAGGCCTGCCCGCCGGGTGAGCATTGTACTCGAAGGCCCCTGCTCCAATGGCCAACCCCTCGGAGCCTCGTCCACTCCCAACCCAGCCGCTGTGCCCCTTTCCGCCAGAGGGGTCTCTCTCTGTTTCTTTGCCCACCACGGCGGGCAGCTCTATCAGTAACGGGTCTAAGCCCCAGAGCTGGGGCAGGGTCTGGGCTCCAGGCCTTTCTCCCTCTGCCCACGCTGCCCACGCTGTCCTGCCGGCAGGCCTGGAGAAGGGGCTCCCAGCCCCACTCCCAGAGCCCCAGGCCGTCTCAGCCGCAGCCCCTGCTTAGGTGGCAGCGGCCTTGGCCCGGCCTCACCAGGCCTCTTTAGCCTGCGGGGCCGAGGGCTCTGCTTTTTACCTCTGTGTCCAGAGGGCCTCACCTGGCCCTATGGTGCCCAGCCCGCCTCGAGGCTCAGGTTAAACAACAGACAACATCTGAACACCTTCAGCGACCGTGGCATCTGGCCCGTGGAGCTGCCATCACGGCTAAGGAAACGGCCCAGTCAGGGGAGCACCAACACCGTGTTCTACGGCAGGGCAGCAGGCAGACCCGGGTGGCTGCCTCAGCCCTGGCACTGGGCCCTGGTGGGCCTGGCACAGGTGATGGTGGGATGTGAACCCTTGGCCGTAGTGCGGGGGATGGAGAGAGCCATCCTCGGTTGCTCAGGTGGCCATAAACACAGCCCTCTCTGCTCGGAGGAGTCGGGAACCCCATGAGGCCCTGCCTCTGAGGCAGGACCCCGGGGCTAAGCGGGGGGAGGGGGAGGGAGCATGGGGGCAAGGCTGCTGGGCAGGCGGCCTTCTGTGGGCACTCTGTGGCAGAGCCAGGGCAAGAACTGGGCCACTGGGGGCACTTTGGGGTCCCCGATGCCCCACTCACCCACCCTGCCAAGTCCCCTCCAGTTTGGCCCAGGATCGTGGGGCCTCAGGATGCCCCTCGAGGCGCACGGGAGGGTCCAGGCCCAGGCACACGGAGCCGGGGCCGCTCCCAGCGCGGGGCCCGCCCTCCCCAGGCCCAGGTCTCGGGGACCTGGTCGGCTGGGGGTGGGGGTGGAGGCTGGGGGATGGGGACCATTTCAGGGCCGCGGGGAGGAGCCGCCAGGAGCCGCGGCAGGATGCAAACGCGCCATGTGCCAAATGGGAGAATGAATCTTACACCCAGACAAAGTGACTTTTATCACGTTAACGACCGTGGTGTGCTCATCACGGCTCCACGGGGAACGGGCCTGGATGCTTTCCTCTCAGCTCTGCCTCCAAATGAAGGCATTCCCCCCTCGGAGCACACAGCCGAGCCTCCGACGGGACCGAGAAGCCCGACTCAGCGAAAACGGAACAGGGGATTAAAGAGTCTCATCTGTGCCTCTGGCAACCACAGGCTGAGCTAGCTGAGGAGCTGGGTGCGTGAGGGGCCTGCCCTCCCCCATTCCTGGCCTCCGTGTGCCCTTTGGTACCAGGAGGGAGGGCGGCTAGAGTCCAGTCCTTACACTCAGGGCTGCTGTGGCTCAGCCTCGTCCCAGTCTCCTGTCAGCCTGGTGTCCGGTGTGTCTGAGGTCAGCCAGACTGGGCCTCCCGCAGGGCAAGCCGGACAGAATCATGGCTGGGTCGGTGGCGCCCCCAGTGGCCAGCGCTGCGTCCTGCATGGAAGGGCACGGGTTGCTGGTGGAGTCTGGGAGAAGGAAGATCTTAGTCCTGAGGATCCCCAGCCCCGCACCCCGTGCCCATCTCCGCAGCACAGCGACTCCATGCTGGGTTGTCAGGAGGCAGGAAAACACCGTCTGATGCTGTACGGCCGCCCAGCCCGGCCCCAGCCGGCGGGCCCACTCACCGGCTCAGGCGGACGGGGGGAGAGGCCAGCCCGTATCTGGGAACCTCTGCCGGCGCCGGGCAGTGCTCTCCGAGGGCCCGCCCGGGGCAGGCAGGCGGCGCTCGGGTGACAGAGGTCAGCGGACAATTAGCGGCCCCGGGAGGTGATTAATCAACATCCCAGGCCTCCGTCCGGCGCTGCGGCCGCTGCTGCCCATGGCCGTGGCAGTGAGGGCCAGGCCAGGCTGCCAGGAGCAAACCACCTGCTGTCCGCACCCCCATCACCAGCACAATCACGGCATCAACACTGATCAGGGCTCAATGTTGCTGTCTCCGTCACAGTCGCTGTCACCATCACTGTCACCATCACAGTCACTGTCACTGTCACAGTCACCGTCACAGTCACCATCACAGTCCCATTCACTGTCACCATCACAATCACCATCACTGTCACTGCCACCGTCACAGACACCATCACTGTCACTGTCACCGTCACACTCACTGTCACTGTTGCCATCACAATCACCATCACAGTCCCATTCACTGTCACTGTCACAGTCACCATCACTGTCACTGTCACCATAACAGTCACCATTACTGTCACCTTCATAATCCCCTTCACAGTCATTGTCACCGTCACTGTCCCCTTCCCTGTCCCCTTTACAGCCACTGTCACCATCACAGTCACTGTCATCATCACAGTCACCATCAGTCACTGTCCCCATTCCTGTCCCCTTCACAGTCCCTATCACTGTCACAGTCACTGTCACAGTGACAGTCACCATCACTGTCCCTATCACAGTCACAGTCACAGTCACCGTCCCCATCACCGTCATCATCACCGTCCCATCACCGTCCCCATCACCATCACTGTCCCCATCACCGTCACCATCACCATCCCCGTCCCCATCCCCGTCCCCATCACCATCCCCGTCCCCATCCCCGTCCCCATCACCGTCCCCATCACCGTCCCCATCGCCGTCCCCATCACCATCCCCATCGCCGTCCCCGTCCCCATCACCGTCCCCATCGCCGTCCCCATCACCGTCACCCTCGCGGGGGCATCAGCAGCCAGCCAGGGCTCACGGTCACCATCCCAATCACACGCACCGTGCTTGCTCTTCCCAACTCAAGACACACACACACACACTGTCCCCTCATCCGACTCTCCCTGCCCCAAAGACACCAGGTGCCTGGCTGGTGGGGAGATTGAGGTGCAGAGCGGGGAAGGCCACGCTGGGCTAACCCCGGTGAGACCCTGGCCTCCTGGCACACCGCTGGCCATCCCTGCCACCGTCCCCCCTCCTGGTGCCAGCTGTTCCAGAACGGGTCCTCCCTCCCCGTGGGAAGGGCTGTTTCTCTTCCGCTTCCTGTCCCTCACAGGTCGGCCGAGGCCCTGCTCCGGGCCAGCCTCACGGACACCCAGCTGAGCGTCAGCCCAAAGCCGCACAGTGTCAGCAGAGCGCCGAGGCCTGGGTCTCGCAGCAGCAGGAGGCGGTGGCGCAGGGCAGACACGCCGCCCGGCCACAGGCAGCAGGGAGGCCCCTGTAGCTCAGAGGCCAGGAGAACGGGGTTCCCATCCTGTCTGTGCCTCCATCCGTCTGGCCTGTAGCGGAGGGCAGGGCAGGGCAGGCCCAGGGCCCCGGACTCAGCAGGGAGGAGCCATGGCCGCCTGGTCCCCAGTCCTGTTCCCCGTCCTGTGCCCAGCCCCCCCGGAGGGGCAATCTCTCCTCCATCAGAGGCCGGCGGAGGGAGTGATTTATCATTCCAGTCCATTATGCCTGTTTCCAGAGAAACTAATTATGGTGCATTGTTGTATTAGATACTTTCAGAAAGATTACATTTTCTTACTTTGGCCGATAAAAAAATTAAATCCATCAGTTTTCCTAAACACATTACAGTAAAGACAGACTCGCTCCTCGTAATTATTAATCAGCCGGATTTAATGCAAAGCGTTTGACTTCGGCTCAATACAGTCACGAACAATGTCCCGGGATCGCATTTGGTATTGAAACAATTTTTCAATTTATTAAAAAGTCATTAAAGAGCTTGGGGTGGGACGTGTGGGAGCGGGGGAAGCTGCTGAGTCAGGGCTGTGGATCTGGTGGGGAGGGGGGCAGGAGACGGGGACTCTGCAAGTCGGAAGGGACCCCGGTCTGTCTCACTGAGGCCCAGCTCTGTCCCAGGGGCCTGCTCCAGGGGGACCGGACCTGGAGACCTCAGCCCCTGCCTCAACCCCAGCCCACGCCACCCAGACTGTCCCTCCGGCTAGGAGCGCCATGGGACAGGGCAGTGGCCGCAGGGTCCCTCTGGGAGCCCTGAGCCGCGTCCTGTGTGGTCCGCACAGAGCCGGTGCCCGGCCTCCGCCCCCTGCCCACCCAGACCAGAGGCCCCCGCCCCCGGGGACATGTGGCTGTTTGGAAGGGCGCCTGGCGTGCCGGGCGCTGGCTCCAGCGGCTGCCCCGCTCACTCAGTCATTTAATTACTCCTCTGACACCCCCTCCGCCCGGGAGGGGTCCGCAGGGCTGAGGCTGCCCGGCTCCGAGCCCCGCGCACTGCGCCCTGGCCCGGCCGGGAGCCGGGAGGCAGCAGCAGCAGGACCGGGCTCAAGCCACGGCCCAGCCACATGCAAACGGGTGACCTTGAGCACACCAGCTACCCTTGCTGTGCCCAGCTTCCCCGCCCGTCTGTCTGTCCCTCCTGACGGGCACTGTCCCCTCTGCCCTCTCCATCAAGGGACAGTCCGGGCTCCTCCCTCAAGGGCTACTTGACAGGCTGCTCCCTCGGCCTGGAGCACCTCCCCTCCCCGGAGCCCACCGCCCCTCCCCCGGCTCTCAGGACTGATTTAGCCACAACCCCAAGACCTGACGGGGCTCTGGGTGGCCCCGTGGCCTGAGGACTGCTTCCTCTCGCACCCAGTGCCCGGCCGGGGCCGCCTCCCAAAGGCCTCCTGCCCCCCCCCCCCAACCACCACGTGCGGCCGCCCTGCCCGGCCCTGGGGTTTGGTCGCAGGCCAGGCCACCCCTTCCGGGGCCGCACTGAGGGGCTGTCGGCTCCCCAGGCACAGGCCACGAGGCCCTGAGAAGGACCGGCACCCTGGGGACCCTGCCCCGCCCCCCTGGCCTCTCACCTGCGGGCGGGGGGCACCGAGCGTGTTCCAGACGCTCATTTCCCGGGGAACGGACGCACGGAGGGTCTTATCTTCCCCCCTCCATCACGCTGGCTCCCTCCCCTCCAGAGGAGCAGCACCCAGCGGCCCGGCCACCCTGGGGCTGGGGAAACGCTGTCTGAATCCTCCCCCCCCCCCCCGCCCAGCCTCCCCTCTCCCCCAGATGGGGCCTCGCCGGGGCCTGGGGGACCGGGCGGGGATGGCAGCCATTTGAGCTGTCACCGGCTCCATCAGAGGGTTTAAATCACTGACAGAGTAACAGCGCCGGAGATGGCAGTGCGGGAGCCACGCGGGAGCAGCTCGGAGCGGCAGGGGGGGAGGGAGGGGAACGGGAGGTGCGGGCGGCTCAGAGTGGCTCTGCTCGGGCACCTCCGCTGGGGAGACTGGCGGCGGGTGAGGCCGGCCCAGCAGGGCGCCCCTCAGCACCCGCCTGCCCCTCTGTTCAGACCAGCATGCCACGGAAGCCCCCAGCCCGGGGCATCTCCAGGGCCCACCCATTCCCGTGGCCCCCGGATAGTGGCTGGGCTCACGGCCACGTCTCTCCCAGGCTGCCTGTGGCTCTCGCGCCCAGGGCCTCGCGGGCACGGACTCGCTGGGAGGGGGTGGCAGAGGGGCCGGGGGCACTGGGCAGGGAGCCTGCCCGCTCGGGCTCACGGGCACCAGGCCGCTGTCTCTGATTGTACGGTGTTAGCCGTAAATTACAGCCTTCAGGAGGCTGCATGTAAAACAAAATAAGTGTCCAACGACAGAGAAAATATTGATTCTGCGGGGATGAGAAGGCTCGGCGTGGTTAAATTAAAACTTTGAGGAGAAGGAGTGTGGGAAGATGGCCCATCGGACCCGAGAGCAGGCTGGGCGTGGGGAGAGGACTCGGTCGGTGAACAGACACCCTGGTCCTGAGATCCCAGGGCAGAAGCCAGAGGGGGGCACACTCATTTGGGGGACAACGGACCCAGGAGACGCCCAGGCACCGACCTGGAGGCAGGGAGGCAGGGAGGCGGCGGGAGCTCTCCGCGGTGCTGAACCGTCACCAGCGAGAGGCCTCGGCCGCCCCGGCCCTGTCGCCTCTCGTCCTGTGTCTGAGCCTGGGGGGCGGCCCGCTTAGAGCCCAGCTCCCCCCACCCACTCAGCTCCCAGTCCCCTTCCCCACAAACACCCTCTTCCGGTCCCTCCTCGCCCCCTTCCTCTCTGCCGGGAGCTCGGGAGGCGCCCCCGCCGGGGCAGAAACCGCAGACGGATGGGCTGCAGGACGGACGAGGCCCTGACCGTCCGGTACCTCGTCCTCCAATGGCCTCAGGCAACCCTGATAGCGGACCGCTAGAGGGGTCGTCTGAGACCATCGGAAAACACAGATACTCACAGCACGATTCATATCAGTAGCAACGAAAATAATTTTACGGTTGGGGGTGACCACAACCTGAGGAACCGTATGAAAGGGAGGTTGGGAACGGCTGGTCTAGAGGATCCCAGGCTTCCGGCTGGGGGGCCCATTTGTCTCTGCAGAGTGAGACGCACTGAAAGGAACCCCATTCCTAGGAACAGCCTCTGGGTCCTTCACCCCCACCCCCACGCCCACCACCACCACCGCCACCACCACTGCCACAGAGGGAGGAGGGGTGCCCGGCTCCCTGTCCGCTCCAAAGGGCTCCCACAGGGCCGTCTGCAGGTGCGGCCAGGGGACCCCTTCCCTCGTCCTCACCTGCCCCCGCCCCCATCCGGCCGCTCCCCCTTCCCAGGCCTCCGGCTGCTGCACTGTGGGATTCTGGGACTCGGGGCAGCACAGGGCGTGGGGCAGGTGGACCTGGGGAGCCTGGCACGGCCTGCACGCTAGTCCCTGCTCCCCATTAGCAAGTGGGCTCAGGGGTGCCGGAACCTGGGCCTTGGCCTCCCTGAAGTGGGGAGGGGAGCAGCCTTCGGTACCAGCCCCCCGCTTTTCTGCTCAGTGGCCTGGAGGCTGGCTCTGGTGTCCCACTGGCACTCAGGGCCAAAGCTGACCCGGGCCTCCTCTTGCGCCTTGGGCTCCCCTGCCCGCTGCCCTGATGCCCACGCTGGACGACAACGCCGGGGCGCGGGCAGGGCCTGGGGCGGGGACTCCTGGAGGCCTGGCAGGGATCAGGCCTCAGAGCCGCTCCGCAGCCAACCTGCTCCGCGCACATCCGTCCATGCTGGCATGCTGGCGTCTGCCCTTGAGCCTGTCCTCCCCTCCTGCAGCCGGGCCCCCAGGGCAGCCGTCCCCTCACCCCCTCCTCAGCCCCTCGCCCAGAGCTCCTGTGAGCCCTCCTCTCGCTGAGCCCCCCTGCCCGGCCCAGGGCTGGGCTGGCTGCTTTCACCTTGCAGTTCCCTTATCAGTCTCCATCGCCCGCTCGGCCCCCGCGGAGCGAAATGCTTTTCTTTGTGGCTGCCCTGCCGGCGGCCGGAGCGGGCGCAGGGACAGGAACAGGAACGGCGGGAATTAAGTCCTGAAGCCCAGGGGCCTCCCCTGCCTGCTCCTCCTCCTCCTGCTTACCCCCCCCCCCGCATCCCTCCCCCGCCCCTGACTCCGGCGCAGGCCTCACCGCCCCAATCTGCTGCTCTCTCCCACTCACTGCCCCACACACACACCCGGCTGAGTGACCCAGCGGACCCGGGAGGCCCCTCCGCTCTGGGAACACACCGGACCCACAAGCA